TGTGTGTGTGTGTGTGTGTGTGTACGTGTATGTGTATGTGTTTGTGCGTGTGAGTGTGTGTTACCTTCTATCCCACCGTCACCTACTTGTTCACATGTCTCTCTTCTTCCTCCCACACAGACGCAGTGTGCCCGTCCTTCCTACGGCCTACTCAGTATGCGACCACCCTCAACTCAGTCAATGGCGTTGCTATGCCTGGTGAGCTCACAGCCATTCTGGGCCCCTCTGGCGCGGGCAAGAGTAAGTACCGAACTTCTTTTCTGTGTCTGACTTTGTCTGTGTGTACCGTACATCGACCCGTGGATTGTCACATCTCCGGATTAGTTGAATGAGTGTGTACGGGTGAGAAATCGAGCGAAGTTTTTCTGGAGGCGTAAACCCGGTTTTCGGTAAATCGACACATCATTGACACGGGGTGTTCAGCCTATAGGTCACTCACTCTATCCATCTCACTCCCTACATCGAATAACAGGCACTCTGCTGGAAGCACTAGCAGGTATGTGGTATACATACGCGTATGTATATCATACATACATATGTATAATACATACATGTGTATAGTGCATACATATGTGTTACACAGACATACATACATGTATATCATGCATATACGTGTATATGTATCATCTATATCTCTCACCCCAACATATGTCAGTATGTGTGCTGTCTGTGTGGCGTACTGTCTGCGTTCTTTTGCACATAGTATAGTATATGTCGGTGTTGTGTAGTGTAGTAAGTGCTGTTGCTGTGCGTATACATATCTCAAGTGTACTGCGTGTGTATTTGTTGTGTAGTGTAGATGTCTGTGTGTATGTGTTGTGTAGTGTAGTAGTGTGTGCTGTTGTTGTGTGTGTGTGTATAGTGTAGTATGTGTTGTGCTCGTGCCATGTGTGAGCTTCATTTAACATCGCCCATTCCGTGCATGTCCGTTGGATGTACTTGTCTATCAGTCCGTCGGCTGTGGTATGGCGCACTCGAGTGTTCTAGAGTTAGGTAGTGCAGAGTTTTGGTCTTCTATGAATGTTCTAGGGTTAGCAGGGTTTTGGTCTTGTGTATATGCTATGGAGTTAAGTGTAACATCGCGTACTCTCTCTACAATCGGTTCTCAACGCTGGTACTCTTGCAGCCGTGTTTCAGACCAACGGAACTGACAGGCCTACTTGTTTAATTTATAGAACTACTCTTGCACTCCTGTTTTATTTCTACAACTACTCTTCTACTCCTGTTTATTATAGAACTACTCTTCAACTCCTCACACCTGCAGGACGCCTCCGTAACAAAAGTGAGTGAGATCTTCTGCCCTTTCGACCTTCCGCACTACTCGCAGATGCCTGCTGCATCTGCCGTCCAAACCTTAAACCCTAAATCTTAAATCGTAATTCCTATATTCTAAACCCTATGCCCTATACACTATTGCCTAATCTGGTTATAATGTTTCCCCTTGCACATGTACATCCTTAGATACACCTGTTGAGTGCCTTATATATATATATATATATATATAGTGTATTATAGTCG